GGGGTAGTACTTCGCAGAATCCCCCCCCCCCTCAACGGCAGGAGCTGTCACTCAATTTCACTCATCCCTTTTTCTCGCTACCGATCATTTTGCCTTACCATTCGCATCATTACAGTAATTATAAAGATGGAGATATATCCCGAGTGGGGTTCATGGAGCGATGGGGGCAGCAGACGAGGCGAGAGTAAGGAAAACATGTCAAAAGCCACGAAGGCTAAGCAGCACCTTCTTGGAACAGGTGAGGGGGCAAGTGGAGCGAGGGTGGAGGGGCATTCAAAGGAAATTTCAACTGCAAACTGTGATCATGGAACACTGGAACACTCCTTCTGCACAAGATTCACCCAGCCAGGAGTTCATTCCCTCCTTGTGCGAAAGTCCCCTTCCTCCGTCCCTTTCTATTACGGCGATTCCAGTTTTGCATAAGGAGTCTTTCGAATGCCCCCCCCCCTTTCCAAGCCGGATTGCGCCGGAAGAACTAACTGATGAAAAACAAAGTGCCGAAATTTAGCGGGGCGGTAAACACATTGCAGTCGAAGAACGAGAACGGGAGACGGATAAAGTCAGCTTCAGAGCTTTTTTTGCTTTCAGTAGGACCTGTTCGCCTTTACGCTTTCCAGTCAAGTGCGCTAACCGTCACGTCACCAGGGCCACTCTTGCCCCCATAGCTCGCTGGCCTTCGTATTGTAATAAAATCTCATAGAAAACAGCTATTCTCACAATAATCGACTCCATTTATTAGATATCTTCATGAAACACTGATTACTCCTTGGAACCCATGGGAGATGAGAACGAGTGCTGCAACCAGTTTTGCCCTCTTGAACCCTGTCCTTGTTCTGTCTGCAGAAGCTTGCCATAAGTTAAACCCTCTCACCGCGCTTGGGGAAATCAAATTTTACAACAGAGAATTTAGTTAGCCCTGCAACTGCAGAGCGGACGTCCACTGATTCCTGCTGCACCCTCTGCTCCACACCACTCTTGTCACCCTCAGAGATCGTGAGCACGGATACAGATCAAATCGTTCGATGGCACATTGTAACGGCTGCACTTTACTTACTGCACTGGCTTCTTCGCTGGAAATTTGAGAAAATCGAGCAGGATGAAATTTCATTTCATGAAGCGCTTTTTCACCTTAGACTAGCCTTCATACAAAAGAAACACAAGAGATCTTTCCCGGCTCTAGCCCAGTGTAGGTAGGCATTCGGGTGAATTACTTTGACGTGTTAGGGCGAATTAGCGAATCCATATTTTTGCATGTCAGGCAACAAGGAAAGTATGTTGGGCGGCAGGGAAGCCTGGATTCCCAGTTCCCAGAGATCTAGAGAGGAGAAGCTCCCGACCGGGTGGCCCTGCTCCACGCATCCTGGAGGTCTGATAGGCCTCACGAAAAGAAAGAAAGCTTGCATTGCCCCTGTCCCACCCCACAGCTAAAAGGTCGCTGTGGGGTTGAGTGCCCTTTCCCCACAACGGTCAGAAAAGTGTCCTGACCTTTGCACCAAACTACTTCCCTGTGTTGGACCAGTGCTTAATCCCGTGAAAAAATATAGATATCTTTTTAAAAGTAAACACCATTAAGTTGTAGTAAGGTTTCCTACCGTAGTGATGCATTCTTGGACGGCTCTGTGATGTGTGTTTCACCAATTTGCCTGCTCAACCTGAATGAAAACCTGTATATACAGCCGCAATGAAGGAAAACAGGAATTCCGGCTAATTGATTAAGAACATCTCTTACTTCGTCACAGGTGCCTCATTGATGTCGAGCTTCTGAGGTGGGAACTGAAACAAACAAAATAAAACTTTATGATGCAAAGAAGTAAATCCTTATGCTTTGAAAATTTTGAAAACCACCCCATTTACCTACAAGTTCAACATACTCACACATCTGCGCCTTAGCAATTTCCATACGCGTAAATTACGTGGGGCTAGCATCATTTCCATGGGGCATTTATTCATGTCCATATAGGCTTTTTCTCTCATTGTCACAACAATGTTGCTACCAGTAAGTGTAATAGTACATCAGCACATCATAGCAGCGTTGTAGAGTTGTAAATATGAGAAAATCTATACAATCATCAATCGATGAACGGACGAAATCCTCCAGTAGATTGAGAGAAAAAAATTGCAGGCAGCTGGCTGACTTGCTTACGAGATAGCTGCTGCTCCTGTTGGCTGCACCTGGCACAATGGATACCGTCCACTTTCTGGAACTGAAGTAGACAATATTCTCTGTCTGAATTGTCACAATGGTGGATTGAATTTCAAATGGTTAAGTAATTTTGAGGCGGAGGTGGTGTAGTTACAAGTTGTACGCTTA